TCTCACAAGCAAATACGTCCAAATGGAATTATCCTTCTCCCCCTCTTGCCAACCTGCTCCTCCTCCAGTGTTCGCTAACACTATTTATAGTGGTCTCACCATTCTATCCTACTCAGTTCTTTCTGCCAGAAACGTCTGAATCATCCTTGAAACCTCCCTTTCCATCATTTACAGCCAAATAACCACTACCTTTTCACTGAGTTTAACTAAAACTCAATCTCTCTCTCTCTGCCCTTGACAGACTCAGCATCACCACACCATCCCTGGATAACAGCAAAGCCTTTGCACTATTTGCACACACCCATCCCCAGGGTGGCCGCATACGACTGCACAGGCGATGCGTGTGCAAAGTGACTGGCTCAGGGGGCTAAAGGCTTTGGCCTGGCCCAGCTGGGACAAAGCTGTGCAGCTTTTCTAACTGATCCACCCAGACGGAAGCCTTTTTCTGGTTTGCACAAAGGCACTGTGTATGCCAACAGAGCCAACCCCATCAAACCCTCCTCCAACACAGCAACGATGCTCATTTAAAAAACTCAAACCTAATCATCTCATCTCCCATGTACAACCCTTCAGTGGGTTCCCAATACTTTTTTGTTAAAGTCCAGAATGCTAAAAATGACCCAAGAGGCTTCACCCAAGTCACATTCCTGCCTTGGTTTCAACCCTTTCAGCCTGGAACTTCAACCCCTAATTCACCTTTTTCCTACTCATTTTTCAGGCCTCATTTTCAGTATCTGTGTTTAGGGAGACCTACCCTAAGTACTCCTTTCCACTAAATTCAGTTAGATCCCTGGGTTAAATGCTCTCTGGACATCTTGTGCTTTCCTGAATTACCACTTATAATGCAATAGCCTGTGTGACTTATAATGCGATAGCACTTGTCTGCCTCCTCCCGCCCTGCCCCCCCCCTTCAGCCACTAGACTAGATTGCTCATAAAGGCAGGGACCTTCCATCCTGTTCCCAGCTGTAGCCCCAGAACTGACAATGTGGTGTCTAACAGGTTCACGGGAAATTGCTGTTCAATAAATGCATAAATAAACAGGTCGTTCAAGATACGCAGGACCCTCACAATTTGGCTATTTCTTTAGCAAAAGAAAAGTTATTCATTCTAAGTGTATTTAGTGCACTGATTATCAAATACATGTAAGACTCCTGATTGAAAATATTAGTATAATCAATAAACCAGAAATTCTGAGTATTTTGTGGCAGCAGTAACATTTCCTTCTTTGGATTTGCATTTGTGATCACAGCCCTCTTTTGAGCTGTGGGCAAAAAATTTTACCAAAGCCAGCTTCATGGGTGCGCTACCTGTATGGCCACATAGGACCCTGCACTTGGCTTAATAATGCCATCTGTCTGTAGCCATCTAGAAATTCTTAATAAGAAACGTTGAGGTCTTAGAAAACAAGGGGCCCCACATATTATGTAGCCTGTCCTGACTCTTACAAATTAGCTTAATTTCTGAAAGAGACCCAGTGGCTAGCCAATCTCTACCTAAGGATGCATCTTTTATAACCAGGGCTGTGTTTCTGGGTTCCCAAGCTTAAGGTTTAACAGGGTTATAATTTAAGGACATTTTTTTCTTCTGATATGTTATCATACATTATGTAGGGGTCTCTTTCATAAAGTTAGGATTTTTCAGACTACAGAAATACATAATTACATTAGTAACAGGGAAACAGTATATAGGAACTCTCTGTGTTATCTTCACAATTTTTCTGAAAGTCTAGAACTATATATTTTTTTATCCTCACCCGAGGACATTTTTGCATTCATCTTCAGATAGAGTGAGAGGGAGCAAGTGAGGAAGAGAGAGAGAGAAACATCGATGTAAGAGAGACATATTGACCGGCTGCCACCCACACGACCCCAACCAGGCCGGGGACAAACTGCAACCGAGGTATGTGCCCTTAGTGGGAACCAAACCCGGGTCTCTCTGGACTGTGGGCCGATGCTCCTACCACTGAGCCAAAACGGCCAGGGCTCTAGAATTATTTTAAGATAAAAAAGCTTGTCTAAAAAAAAAAAGATAAGAAAGAAATACATGGTTATCTTTGTTCTTGCTGTTAGGTAAAAAGCTTTTTAATTTTTCCTAGAACTAAATGCTAGTCTGAACATGGTTTACACTAAATCTCATAAAATTTTCACATAGAATTTTTTGTTTAGGGTTCTAATATCAAAGATTGTGTCAATTTTCCCAAATCAAGAAGCATGATCCACTGATACTCCATCACCTTTAAAAAGGGGGGTGGGGGATATCGAGTATACTAAAAGGAGAAAAATGGAAACTGCTACAGAATTCATTTTTACTTTCCAACATTTTAAACTTTAAAAATCTAATAACTATATCAAAATTTCTTTGGGTTAAAACTTGGCTGGGCATGTATAACCATTCATGAGGAAAAACACTGGTTTAGTCATCTTTATTGTAAAAATATTTTAAAATGCCAGATGTTTGGTTAAACTTTACAAATAGCTTATCTAGTCTTAAAAGTTTAAAGTTAATTATGTTTACTTAATGTTTAGTTCATAATTGTCTAGAGTATTTTAAATATTGTATCTTTTTTGTTTTTTCCCTCAACTGAGTGACTTTGTCTCCCAGGAAATCTTTGGTGATGTCTACAGACATTTTTGGTTGTTATAACTGGAGGAGGGGACTACTAGCATTTAATAAGTAGAGGCCATGGAAGCCACTACACATCTTACAATGCACAGGACAATCACCAAAACAAAAGGTTATCTGGCCAAATGTGTCAAAAGTGCCAAAGTTGAGAAACTCTGGTCTAAACATACATGGCATTTGCCACAAATAGGCAAGAAACGTTGACAACCTAAAGGCATGCCTTCCGTGTCAAAACCAATGTGGTTAAGAATACAGTCCTCAGGAAAAAAAAAAAAACCACCTGATTTATATGAGTAGTCATTTGAAAACTCCCCTTTTAAAGCAGGGAGTCAGGCATTTGACATTCTGAGCTAGAACCATGAATACATTTTTCATTAGACTGAATATTAAACAGTGACATATACCCGCTGTGGTTCAGTGGATTGAGCGTCGTCCCATGGACTGAGGGTCCCAGTTTGATTCCTAGTCATGGCACATACGCAAGTTTCAGGCACATACATCAAGGCACATACTCAATACCTAGTGGAGGGTGTGCAGGAGGCAGCTAATCGATGTTTCTATCTCTCTCTCTCCCTTCCTCTCTCTCTAAAAAATAAATCAAGCCCAGCCGGTGTGGCTCAGTGGTTGAGCATCAACCCACGCACCAAGAGGTCACCTGTACGATTCCCGGTCAGGGTACATGCTCAAGTTGTGGGCCAGGTCCCCATTGTGGGGCATACAGGAGGTAACCAATCGATGCTCCCTCTCATAGATGTTTCTATCTGTCTCTCCTTTTCACTTTCTCTCTGTAATGTCAGTAAAAAAAAAAAAAATTTAATCAATAAAAACATGTTAAAAACAGTGACATGATTCCTTGGGTGGGCCATAAAGGACTCAATGCAGTGAAAATAATGAATCAAAAGAGATCATTTTCAATAGTATTAATTTCTTTCCTACTACCTCACTTCATGAAAAAATGTACATTACCTACATCATAGGTCAGAATTTTTCATTGATCTGAGAATGTAATTAGCCGGTACAGCAGTTTCTAAGACAGAGATTTAAAAATGGATGATGCATGAACCATATCTGATTTTGTTCCTTCTGTTTAAAAAAGAAAATAAATGAGCCAATATTTATATTAAATCATATTTTACATTTTTTAAAATAAAAAAAACTTCTGTTATTTGGGGGGCACGGGGAAGCTCTGGCCAAACTGGGCCAGGATTTCTGCATGGTTATGTGGAAGAAATGGTTGATACCCACCCAGATTTTAGCAAGTCCTCTGGAGGTCACCAGGGACCAACCCAGTCTAACTTAGGTCTCCTGTGCATTACTTCAGTCCCTGTAGATAGCTGATTTTGTAGATAGTTAATAGTTCTCAGGAAAAACATTTTTCTTAGTGCTTAGCAACTAAATTACAAATGGGAAAGAAGCAACTTGTGACTAGTAGTCCTATAACAAGTCAAGAATAAACTATAATTAGTGAAGGATAGAATCCAGTATATATATTCTGGACCAAGGCTAAGGAGGTCCTTGCCAGGGCCAGGCTGAAGGAAGGGCAGGGAGCTGACAGGTAACCTTCAAACCCTCATCATGAAATAGAAAAAAATATTTTCTCTTATCTACCAATAAAACTTTATAAAAGTAAATTCCTGGTATGTTACATAGAATTATGTGGTGATTTGGGAGCGGGTTTGGAGGAGGAAAGAAGGGGAATAAATGGTGCTGGATGGAGACTTGAATGGGGTGGTGAACATACAATACAGTGTATAGATGATGTGTTGTAGAATTATGCACCTGAAACGTGTATAATTTTGTTAACTAGTGTCACCTCAATAAATATAGTAAAAAGGAAAAAAAAATGGTAAAGACCTAGAAAAAAAAAAAGTAGAGGAGTTAGCCATTTCTAAGACCTCAAAGTTTCCCATAACTACCATCTTTAAGGCCTGAACAAAATTCATTAAGCAACAGCAGGTATCCACAGAGCTTTTTTCCTTCTTGCCAGAACTGAAATCTGTTAACAAATCCTCTGGCTTGTCTGGAACTGTCTGGGTTCCTAGCAGGTAATTTACACTGATCTTTGAAAACCATTCACCCCTCCACCTCCCCTCTATAAAACAAACCTGCCTTTCAGAACAGCTCTGAAAGGGGGGCAGAAAGCCCAGAGGAGGGTACAAGTCCCTGACTGAGGCCCTCACCTACCACTCACCGAATTCAGGCCACAAAAAGCTGTGGCCGGGTTCTCATCTCCAGACACTATTGCTTTCTCTGAACACCATATAACCTCCCAATTCGCCTCTTGTTCTACTATTTGCAAAATCAAGACTCTCTTCCCTCAAGAAAGAAATCACAAAGCAAAGAATGCACAGGATGCCAGGTGATTCCAAAACTTACCTCCACTGGGCAGCCCATACGGTCCAGCCCGGATCTGCAGGCGACCTCGTCCACGGTGAAAGACAGTGTGCAGCAGGCAAGGGTGCCTCTGTTTTGCTCTGCATCTGAGAGAAAGTGCTGCAAAGGGGAAAAGGGCTGTGATAGAGCTAATGACTTAAAATTGGAAGAATTGGAATCAGAAATTGGATGCTAACAAAAAAAAAAAAAAAAAAAAAAAAAAAAAATCCTAGGTAGGGAGTAGACTGTGTTTAAGAAGAACCACCTGCAGACCTGGCCAGTTTGGCTCAGCGTTACAGCATAGGCCCGAAGGGTCGTGGGTTCGATTCTGGTTAAGGGCACCTTCCTGGGTCGCAGATTTCATCCCCACCCTATCTGGTCGGGCAGGAGGCAACCAATCCATGTATCTCTCTCATATTGATGTTTCTCTCTCTCCCTCCCTTCCACATTATCCTGGAGTGAGAATTAACAACAATAATAACAAAAAAGGAATCACCTGTTTTCATAATAGACCCAGCATGGCGAAAGGCGTGAAGGAGTGGGAGGCAGCAGGAAGACTGGGAGAAGCCTAAGGGCTTAGGAGCCCCCAGACTACCGTCTCTCTTCCAGCGGTTCTAGTCGCCCAGGGTGAGTCATTTGTCATCCTGGCGTCGGCTTATTCATCAGTAAAACAGTAAAATAAGGGTAATGTCTTTTCGCAGGGTTATGCTAAATGAAGTTAAAAGCCCCAGGCCCCGAGGGGATGGCAGTAACTGTTCGCTTCTAGCCCGCAGCCAACTCCAGCGATTTCTAAGCTTATACTCCCTTTGCGGACCAGGGTTAAAGAGGCCAGAAAAAGTGCTTCCAGGTGAAACCTGGCACTAGAATTCTGGCCCCGAACACCAGTCATCCGACCGAAGGGTACGAAGGGTACGGTCGAGGGAGGACGCCGTGCGCCATTCCCGGCCCTTGAGCGCACACGCTCTCCAGGGGTTCCTAACGCGCGTCCACTCTTCCAGCCCCGGCTCTGCTCCCTCGGCGCCGACGGAGGCCACCCCGCTCCGGGCAGCGGGGCCCTGGCTAAGAGCTCGCTCCCTCCTCCCATCCTTCCTATCCCTCCCTCGCCGCGGGGCGGCGGAACGGGGAAGCCTGTGAGGAGTTGGTTACCTGCAGCGAGCGTCCTGGCCCCAGGGGCGCAGAAGGGTGAGGTACCGCGTGGTGCCCTAGAGAAGCCACGGGGGACCGTTTCTCACCCGCCGCGCACTAGCCCAGCTCTGTGCTGAGCTAGCGGCGATTCAGCTATCGCACCTCTGAGCCTCCGGCCCCGCCTGCGCGCCACGCCCCTGGGGCCGCCCTCGTAGGGCCCGCCCACCGCCCCGCCTCGCCTCCCGGCCTCGCCTCCCTCCAGCGTGCTGGGCCTGGGGCTCGTGGTTCCTGGCCCCAGTGGGCGTGCCTCTCCGCTTTGCCACTATCCCGGAGGAGGGCCGGCATCCCCTACAGCTGTTCTCTCTGCTTCCTCAAGTTCACCTTGGTTCTTAGGGCATAAGGGCTGCGCACGTGAGTGGCGTGTTTTTCAAAATCTTATGCTCTGTTCCTCAGAGGCAGGGGGAAAAAATTAATGCAACGTTCTTTATATCATATCAGGTTTGGAGATAACCATGTATTTTTCCCCTCCATGAGTCTTGCTTACTAAAGTTAGCATTTAAACACTCAAAAAAGCTGTGGTACATATACACAATGGAGTACTATAAAGCTGTAAGAAAGAAAGATCTCTTATCCTTTCAGACGACATGGAGGGACCTGGAGAGTATTATCCTAAGCGAAACAAGCCAAGCAGAGAAAGACAAATATCACATGATCTCACTTATTTGTAGAATATAATGAACATAACAGTCTGAGGAACAGGGTAGACCCAGAGACGTGGAAGTAGGATACAAACTGACAACCTTCAGAAAAGGGGGTGGAGGGGAGGGAGGAGATAAACCCCAGAGCTTATATGCATGTAGGCATAACTGATGGACATGGGCAACAAAGCTGGGGACAAGGTGGGGGGGATGGGGAGGAGGGTGTCAATGGGGTAAAAAGGAGAAATATCTGTAACAAAAATAAATAAAAAATAAAAGAGATGAGAAATGCAAAAAATAAAAATAAAAACTCATTTCGTTCATATGTCACTATGGAACAAGCCACAGTGCCATGCAAAACAGTATAAACACCTCTCTCCTGCCCTCCCAGCACATAGCCTTGTGTCATTTATAAAAGTTGACAGTTTCCTTTGTAGCAAGAGGAACGTTGTGTATTTGTCTTCTGTTGTTCTTCATCATCTTCATATCATTTATTAATTCCACCTACAGGTATTGCAGTCCCACTCACCATGTTCTGCTGGATCTGTAGGGTAAAGCTGAAATCCTGTGAGTTGATGGGTTTCCCTGTAACTGGAAGATTTCCTGCTAACCATCATTCTAACAACAAAAAAAAAAAGGTCATTGCTCTGGGGAGACACTTGAATGCAGACAGCAGGGCTGTGCTGGCCTAGAGGGCACCACTGAGTCTCTGAGGCTCACCCTTTTGGGCTTTGGACCAGATGAAGTGAGATGGGGTGGAGTGGGGTTGGGGGGAGCATTCTTAGATCTACACGGAGCAGAAGTTGACAGTGTCCCCTAAGTGGAGTTAATAAGTGGAGCTAGTGAAATATTCCTCCAGGAAGGTAAATCTGAGCTCTTTCCTAAGGAGATTCCTTCTCCAATGATAATCTTAGAGCATCTTGCTTTAATTTTATTTAGGAAAGTAACCTTTTTCCTTGTTATAATACATTATGTGTAGACCTAGAATTAGGGGAGCTCACGAGCTCCTTTTAAACTGTGGCTTATAGCCTTGGCTAGTGTGGCTCAATGGTGAGAATATTGGACCGCGCCTCGAAGGGCTTCAGGTTCTATTCCCAGTCAAGGGCACGCACCTGGGTTGCAGGTTTTATCCTCAGCCCCCGTTGGGGCACATGGTGTATGCAACCAATTAATGTCTCTCTCTCTCTCTCGCTCTGTTTTTTTTTTTTTTAATGTGCTTTTTTTTATTATTATTTTTTTCTTTATTGATTTTTAGAGAGAGAGTAAGGAAGAGGGAGAGAGAGATAGAAACATCGATGAGATGGAACATCGATTGGCCACCTCCTGGGCAACCTGATCCCGCAATGGGGATCAGGCCCACAACCTAGGCATGTGCCCTGCCCGGGAATCCAACTGGCAACCTCTTGGTGCATGGGTTGATGCTCAACCACTGAGCCACACCGGCCAGGCTCTCTGTCTCTCTTTTTCTCTCCCTTCCATTCTCTCTAAAAATCAATGGAAAAAAAAATCCTCGGGTGAGGATTAAAACAGAAAAATAAATTTTAAAAATTTTAAAAATAAACTGTGGCTTATCTCTTTTTTTTTTTAATCATGGGAACAAAAGTGTGAAACCAACATGCCCTCTGCAAATATGCACAGAATTTGCATTTTGGTCAGAACTAAAAAATTATAAAAGTAATTGCAATTTGTTTTCTCCATCTATTGCTAATCCAGATGACCTTTTTTTTTATTAAGGGACATGATATTTTTTAATTCCTTAAGTGAAGACATTGTGAAGGCAAATATGTTGCAAAAACCCTCACAAGGCATTATGAAAATAAATTCATAAATTTTATTAATTCAATGTTTGAAACTAAGCCTTTCACTTCTTTCCACTAGACTAACCATATTTCCTCCATCCTCACTTGACCAGTTTTTTCATACAAGGCTTACATCAAGGATATTTTGTTTGTTTTCAATAGTCAATACTTAGTATGCCTACAAGAATACTCATTTTTATTTTTAAAAGAGTGATCAGATTTGCTTGTTTTTGAGTCACCTATTCATATCTGTAAACATTTGTCTGAAAACGGAATAGAAAAGAAAATGTGCACATCCTATGACCCAGCAATTCTACAGTTGTATTGGCTAATGCAGTAGCCACTAGCCACATGTGGCTATTGAACCCACAAAATGTGCTTAGACTGCATTGAAATGTGTGGGAAGTGCAAAATACACAAATTTTGAAGTTTTAGTATAGTTTTTTTTTTAAATACCTCATTTAAATTTATTTTAAAATATTAATTATAGTTAAAACAGAAATATTTTGGATACAATAATTTAAAATTTTTAAAAGGTGAATAAAACTTATTAGCACAATGGTTGAAACTTTGAATGTATATGTTGCTGTTAAAAGAAGAAACACAGGCCAAAATGCAATCACTTTGCTAAGTCACGTCAGCAAACCAAAGCTTAATAATTAATCTAATGTCTGTGTCAGCCTCTCCCAAAAGTGGAATTTTGAATCAATCACCCTGGAATTTCCTGGTGAAATACTGAAGTATGCTGCCTGATAAGATTCCTTACCTTCCCATAAGGGAAGGTGTCTTTGCCTGAAATAATTCACTCTTTTAGCTTCTTTCTGACTATAAAAACCTTCCATTTTGTACAGCTCATGGAGTTTCCCTCTGGTTGCTGTGTGGGATGCACCCCAATTCACGAATTACTTAATAAAGCCAAATTAGCTCTGTTGAATTCTGTTCTTTAACATTATAAAAACAATGCTAATTCTGTTCCTTAACACTATTTGTACAATATTGTGCTTCAGATACATTACCAGCGATGATGGATTGATCTGATCATCTAACTTTACTGTGTAATATTGTTTTGACAGGAAAATTAACTTCAAAGTCCAAACAATGGATTTATAAATTAACCTTTATAATGTCTTTTTATCAGTTGGATATTGCATGTACCCCATACATGTCATTTAATTATCACAATAACATACCCATCATAAATGTATACAAGGTGTTCAGAAGGTATTTTTGGGTTTCTTAGGGGTGTCAGGGTCTAGTCAGAAAACAGAAATTTCAGCAGTTATTTTTACAGAAACTTTAAGGAATTGCTCAAATAGGCAATGGAGGGTTTGAAACCGTAGAAGAAAAACATTGCAATAACAGAGAGATAGTAACTGCAGGAAGCAGCTGCCACAGAGAAGTGTTTGGATTATTAGAAACTAAGAGCTGGAAGAAGGCCCAGAGGGATCTGGGACTCAGACCTCCGAGGAAGGGGCTGTACCCTGATGGTGGTTGTATTTTTTAAGAGAAATGTTGAAGATTGCTGGATCTGAGAAGGAGGATTAAAAACTAGAAATTGGAACCAACTGTTGCAACCAGGGAAAAGAACCATTGCTGTGTGACTGGCAGTTACAGCAAGCTACTATCAAGAAGCAAGTCCCATTCTGGCCTGTTTGGTTCAGCTGTTAGAGCGACAGCCTGTGGACCAGAGAGTCCTGGGTTCGGTTCCCGCTAAGGGCACATACCTTGGTTGTAGTTTGTCCCCGGCCCCAGATGGGGTCGTGTGGGTGGCAGCCACTTGATGGGTCTCTCTCACATCAATGTTTCTCTCTCTCTCTCTTCCTCCTTCTCTCCCTCCTGCTCTATTTGAAGACAAATGCAAAAATATCCTCGGGTAAGGATAAAAAAAAAAGAGGCAAGTCTCTTCTCCCTACTCCAGGCTTTTGGTCTCAAGCACCTCCTATTGGCAAAACCTTACAGGCAACATGGTTTGTTGTGTCACAGCCAGAGCACGACCAGCGTGCAGAAGGATGGGTTTGAGCTTCAAGATAACCCATAATAACGAGCATAAGGAGTAAACTCATGACTACAAATACCCTAAATGCAGAGAAGTATTGTTAAACATAGCTGTTATGGTGACAATTGATACATTTACAATACATTTTTAAAATATAATAAAACTGTGGTTAAAAATACAACTTGTCCTGGCTGGGTAGCTCAGTTGGTTAGAGCATCACCCTGATAGGTCAAAGTTTCCGGTTCCATCCCAGGTCAGGGCACATACAAGAATCAGCCAATGAATGAATAAATAAATGGAACAGCAACTCCATCTCTCTCTCTCTCTCTCTCTCTCTCTCTCTCTCTCTCTCTCTCTCTCCCCCCCCCCACTCCCCCTCCTCAAATCATAAATTAAAAAAAAAAAATTTAAGTACAACTTAAGTAAGGGGATAAGGTTGAACCTGACCCAAACCCTGTGCTCCCAGAAGATAGTGAGAGCTAAAGAAATACCCACACCCACACCATTTTGTGTTTCAGAAAACAGCTTACTGCGAACAACCACCACCTTTGCTCAAGTGACTTAGATAAGACTCACAGAGAGTTCCCTTTTTCACCTGTGACGAGGCCAAACACAGACCCTCCAAATTCTCTTTTTTTGCC